AAATCTGAAACGATCGATCAAAAAGAAATACTCCACATGATAACTTCTACCAGCGAACTTCTCGGCAAACCTTGTGAACTGCAAAACGCAAAAGGTCTTGCTAAGAAAATTCTGGATTCATGCGATACGAAGAGAAATGGAAAAATAACAAAAGAAGAATTTGTGAATGGGTAAATAGAATGCATTCTTCTGTGGAATCGTCTCGATATTCCTTTTCATTGTAGCTGCAGAAATAACAAGGAGTACTGTCGAATGCTAATACCGAATTACGATAAAAGTAAGTATCAAAAAATATAAATAATACTAAAACATGGTCATAGCTAGGGCTAGTCCTGTAGATGGGTTCTGCACCATATTCATAAAAACGTTCATGTTTTTATCTTAAGAGAAATAGAGCAAACACAAATATAAATGTACAAATTGTGTTTCATGAAAGTGCTTGTCTTATAGCAACTGTTCGCACTAGCAGACCTTTTATCTGTTGTTGATTTTCAATGATCGTCCTTAATCCATCACATAATTAGAATGAATGCTTATCCCACAGCCCCGCTCAAATGACATTCAGATTTGGAGCATAATGTTTTACAAATAGTAGTGATAATGTACTTGGGATAATCACAATAAATAGAGCTGAAGCCATTTTTCGACTGTTGTGAGGTTTCAGTATTTCATGAAAGGTTTCAATAATGAAACTGGCGTGTGTTCTCCTGTTCAAGACAGTCATCAAGCCTGTTTTCGCTGAAAACAACCGCGAAGCATTCTTCAGAAAGTGTTAGAATCGTAAATGGAATTGTTTTTAATTTCCGAACAATGTTTTTATTGCAGCCGAACTTGCTGGCGAACATCGCAATGAGATGAACTCCAACAATAATTTAGCCATCTTTTGTTGTGGCATCCTAAACTAACAACATAGTGACATTGTGGATCTCGCCGATAAGTTTTCAATGAGCCTTATTCCCAATTCGCTAGTTGGCCACCAGACAGCAAAACTTTGATACTCTCTTCACTTCTAATCTTTCGCTTTTCTTGTGTAGGCATGCTTCTTAAACACCATTACTTTGCTATTACGTCAAACAAACACAATCTCATTAGATGCTGAATTAAATTCTGCATTCAACACGCTCGAACAGAAATGCCTCACTTAATCGTGGATGCAAAAAAACTAGAATCTGATGCTAACTTGCTTGTGTAATATAGATGAGCCTATGTCAGAACCGCTTGCATGAAACCATAAATCCTTTTTCTCCTCGAAAACCGTTCCCATTTACACCCTTCGACTCAAAAATCCTAAACTATTTCCAGCCGCAGTGAAATAAAATTCGAGTATTTATGATCAATCTGTTAATCCAAAAGGCGTATTAAATTTACTTTTTAGCAACAACATCCTCCGACCCAAACTACGAGGGTGAACTGGAAAACGGGAAAAAGGACGGAAAAGGCGTTTACACCTGGCCCGACGGTCGCCGGTACGAGGGACAATGGAAAGACGACAAGCAGAACGGAAAAGGCGTTTACACCTGGCCGGACGGTCGCCGGTACGAGGGAAACTGGAAAGACGACGTGAAAGATGGAAATGGTATCGAAACTTTGACCGACGGCGAACGGTACGAGGGAGAATGGAAGGATGATAAGAAGAACGGAAAAGGCGTTCAGAATTCGCCTGACGGTACGCAGTTCGAGGGAGATTGGAAAGATGGCAAGAAGAACGGAAAGGGCGTTTACACCTGGCCCGATGGTCGCCGGTACGACGGAGAATGGAAAGATGACAAGCAGGACGAAAAAGGCGTTTACATCGCGCCCGACGGCCGCCGATACCAGGGAGACTTGAAAGGTGGCCTGAAAGACGGAAGTGGTACCGAAACCTTGGTCGACGGCGAGCGGTACGAGGGAAAATGGAAGGATGATAAGAAGAACGGAACAGGCGTTCAGACCTGGGCTACCGGCGATCGATACGACGGAGAATGGAAAGATGGCAACAGGCACGGAAAAGGCGTTCAGATTTGGGCTAACGGCGATCGATACGACGGAGAATGGAAAGATGGTAAGAAGAACGGACAAGGCGTTCAGGCCTGGTCCGACGGCGATCGATACGACGGAGAATGGAAAGATGGCAACAGGCACGGAAAAGGCGTTTTCGTCTGGTCCGACGGCGATCGGTACGAGGGAGCATGGAAAGATGGCAATAGGAACGGAAAAGGCGTTTTCAGCTACTCCGACGGCGGCCGATATGAAGGAGAATGGACAAATAGCAAGGAGAACGGAAGAGGCGTTCAGACTTGGCCCAACGGTAAGCGATTCGAGGGAGAATGGAAAAATGGCACGAGGATCGAAAGAGGCCGTCTCACCTGGCCGAACGGGACGTTTTTCAATGGAGACGTCACCGATGACATGATAGAAAGATGGCAAGCTAACCAGACTTATACCTATACATATAGATGAGTGAAGAGCGATTTGTCGTATCATTTTTAACCACCTACGACCTGTTTGGACCTTGCCTAAGACTATAATCATTTTTCTCAATTAATACCGCGCTGTGAGTTTATACTCTTATGTTTAGTTCTAACAGCTTATCCATATTCATGATTAAGTGAAAATCTAAACCTTATATGAAATATATGGCAGGAATAGCATATGTGCGCTGAATTGTTTAGTACAGCTAAAAACGATGCTGACTTACACGTACAAGGAAACGTCTTACAGCTCAGAAATGTCTCATTTTAAACAGAAAATTAAGACCTATAAGAGTGACTTATTCAAAGAACTTTACATTTAATTCAGCGATGAATAAGTCTAAGCTTTCATTAAGAACATATTGTTGATTAATCAAGCGTCGATTATAAAATGTTTGTATAAAATAATTGTTCTAATTTAATTGACGTTTGTTCAGTTTCTTACGCTTTTTCAAATGATATATTTGAATAGTTTTCTCATTCGGATTTAAGATGATTAATTTCGCTTTTAAAAGATTTTACTATCACTCATTGTAAATTCAAAGTTTCATAATTGTCACAATGAATCTCAAAATAAGTTTTCTATCAAAATGTAGAGCTTTAAATCCTCTATTGAGTAATTCAGATATTTTTTAAACAATTCTTTAGCATAAAAATTACCGAAAATGAATGAAAGTAAATGATTTGTCCTTAAACTTTTTTCTGCTAGAGAAAAAAGTTGATCTTCATTATGAAAAGGATAGTTGAGTTTACATGGACTAGGGAGATGATTCTTCTTCGTAAGTACATCGATCATCAAAACACCTTACTGAGCTTAACTGTAGACAGAAGACAGGAAATAAATTTGTTCTTATACTTTTTTCCTCTACTTTATGTTACCTTGGTTCACGGTTGCCGTGTGTAACAGAGATGCAACCGATCCAAAATTCTTAGAACGGGAACGGTACCGTTTTAAAAGTATTGTACCGGAACGGAACGGCTGTTCTAAATTTTCTAAATTTTCTATTTTTTCATAGTGAAAGACTAATTTTTCGTATTGAAAAAGGTTTTTAAATTTTTCTTAAAAAAACCATTGTTTGTTCAGAAAAACAAAATTAGCCATTTTGTAGTTCTATCTAACAATATGTATTTTAGGTCTGGACCAAATAGGGAATCTGCGGTACTTTTATTCACAAAAACCCCATTGAAAGAGGGTTTTTAGCAAACTTTTTAATGTTTTCGTGGAGATGAAGGCCATCCGAAGGCACTGCTAGATGCGTTTCTATGAGCTCTATCCGACGATATGCATTTTAACTCCGGACCAACTCGAGAAATGAATGTGCCAAATGTTTACTTAAAATGGTGATTTTTCGTATTGAAAAACGTTATTTGAATTTTTCTCAAAAACCATTGATCTAAGAAGCTATCATTCATTCCATCTTTGTGTTTCAAAGCCACTTCAATATGACCTGGTACATCGAAAAAGAAAAAGAAACTATGACTTCAATACTCATATGATGAGAATTTAATTTTGAAGATCGTAAACATCATTCATACAAAATCAGTTCGAAATATTTCTTATATAAACAGAGAATTTTGCATGTATGTACTAAAGATGTTCATGGGATGGGATAGAACAAACAGATCATGCCATGAGACGAAAAATTTTTTTGTCCCATTCAATCCCGTTGTGAGGGAAAATGATGTGACTTCAGTGAGAATCGAACTGAGATCTTCACCTATGCTTATCGATACTCTATCCACTGAGCTATCGAGTCCCGCTTGTCACATCCGCCTTGTGGAATCTCTTGGGATCCCATAGGATACTTTTGAATTTATTTTCATGTGAAAACAAGGTAGCAGAACTTCCACTCAAATTACTTGTACCTTATTTATCTAAATTTCAAGCATAAACATAAAAACACTTTTTTATGTACATAACAGTTTACACACAGAAAGAGAAATTAAATTACAAACTACCGCCTAACCGAAAATGGTACGAAAAGTCATACAGGACTGTTTTTAAAATCTGTACGACTCATGCACGATTTTTAGTCAGACTGTTATCTGTTTTTATTGATTGAATAGGCTATTTACATTTAGAAACAGTGACCCAGAGCCATCACCAGATGTCATTCCTGCATTCTGTTAACAGTTATGCTAACACTTACTGCTGTGGAAAAAACCGCCATTTTTCATCATTATTAGTGTTTCTTGTATACTATACGAAACAGCAAAACAAAAAAGTGACACAGGAGTCTGCGTGACTTTTGCATAACTTTTTGTCCGGCTTTAGTCTCACAAAAGCCCGATAGACGCACGACAGGACTAACAGGACTTTCACACAGCTCCTATCGACTTTGGTAAGAATGCTCATTTTCATGCAACTTCGGCAGGAGCTTAAGAAAGTCGACTAGGAGACCGCATGCAAAAAGCAAAAACATGAACAGTTACAAAGGTATCAGGATAAAATGTAGACTGCTCATTGATTTAAACTTTTAATTGATTGTACAAGCAGAATATTATCAACTTGATCTGAACCCGAACATAATCTTCTTTCATTTATAATGAGACTAACGCTACTAAACTGATGTTCAATAGCGAAGAGATGGTCTGACGCATACACAATTTAATTTGCCCGAATTTACTTTTAGTTGATTATTTTCCATTTTAGTTAGCTTTTTTCTACAAGAAAGGAAAGAAAACTATAATTTTTGCTATAGAGGATGTACTTTCCACTGATTATTCGGAAAATATATATCAATTAACCACTTTCTAAGTAAGAATATACTTTTTAGTGATTGTTTTTCACGAAAAGCACTAACCAAACGAATAGTTGTCGCAGTTCATGAAGAACACCGCCAATTAGGAAACATCGCGAATTTTTAAAAACCGACTCAACAGGTTGATAATACTCTTCAAAACACGCAACATAGCAGACTCAGACTTTTATTAAACTGACACTATTCGGTATAACAGCAGGCTTTCGTTTTCATCACGAGTGACTTATAGGTAAGAAAAAGCGATTTTTCTTCAAATAAGACAGAAGCCTTCAAGTGATGTTTTATATATTAAAAGATGCAGAAAGAAATTTTCTATCGAATGCACTAGTAGACTATTCCAGGGCTTCATTCTATCACAGAACTTCAGAATCAAGCGCACAATTTTGGCTTATTCAGAAATACAGTCATCCGAAAAAAATACTTTTCGGCCTTATGACAAAACATGTCGACAAGATTTTTTTGTGAAAAACTTTCCGACACTCAGAGCTGCAATAATATGCAAAAAGAATTGAGTGATATTTGAGCATTAGGGAGCAAGGTTAAAAACATTCAAAAAAGTAGGGTCGACAAAAAGATTCACTTTTGTGTTTTTTAACTTTTTCTCGACTTTGTAACATCTTCAAACAAAAATAATGACATATTTTAATCTTCGCAAAAAACAGCATCGACTGATGTGTGATCATATAGAGTCGAAACAGTTTGGCTTGAGTTTTTTTGCAAGCGAGTTGAGAGTTGAGAGCTGTCTCATTCGAAAGAGCGTGTCAAACTTAGTATAACTATTGATTTTTCTTTGCTCAGGTACTTCGTTTTGTCTAAAAATTAAGGAAAGAAAAAATATTTAACTAAAAATATTTTCGAATTCAAAACAATGTTCACACAGAAACTTTCTTTACACAGGCTTTTTTCCTAGAAAGCAACCTTGTAGATGAATGGGTGAAATTTACTCGAATGAAATTTACTCGAAAGCGATATTCTCGAAAATAATTTCGAATATAAATAACTCACACGAAAGAAAAGTTATCTCTTTTACTCATATTCTGTAGTTGTTGGCATGCTAGAAATTAGAGATGAATGAAAGAATGAACTCACTGCTGGATGACAGACACATACTCGATGATGAACCGGTGGTGGAATCTGAAATGTGAATAGGATCAGACATGAATATGTCAATCAGATAGTATTATGACGTACTTGGCGTTCGACGTATGTCATTTGACGTGAAGTTGAAGGACCAATGGAGTACTCCTTTGTCGAACCAAATGAAAACTCTAAATTTTAAATAACATACGTTAGTCTGCTAATCTGTAAATAAACAAAAAATAGTTTTATTCGGATAACAAGGTTGTTCATTGCTTACAGCACTAGTAAGTGAGATGATGGAGTTTTTACAAAAGGCTCTTCGCTTGTTTCAGATTTCTTTTATCTATGATGTCTTACATCGTTTTTGCTATTTTTCTTCTTATTTATTTTCAGATATATGTGTTTATCAAAGCTTCGAAGGGAAAGGACTTTAGACGGACCACATCTAGAAGAAAAGTCTGGTAAGATGTGGTCTGTTGAAGTTCTTCAATATTTTAGCAGCTCAAACAATCAGACTAAATTTCTTTCAGGTTTCTTTCTTGCTCTTTTTAGATAAGCTTTGTCACCTAACGAATTTCATCAAGCATCTATGTGTATCTCAAATTAACTTGGTCAAGAA